AGGAAGGAAGGAAGGAAGGAAGGAAGGAAGGAAGGAAGGAAGGAAGGGAGAAAATTCAAGTAAAGAAATAAGGTTTTTAAATATTAAAAGGGGGCCTGGCAGGATGGCTTAGTGGCTAGGGACATGACCCTGATGACCTCAATTTCCACATCCCATAAGATGGCAGAAAGAACTGGCTTCTGGGGGTTAACCTCTGACCTCCATGTGTTCCGTGACATGCACACACCTGCGCGCATGCACACACACACAAGTAAAAATAAAATAAACGAACATGAACTTGAAAAGGTACAGACTGGGCTGGGAGAATGAAATGAACAAGTAATTTACGAAAGAAGAGACACAAATGACAGTAACTTTTTTAAAAAAGTGTTCAGCATCCCTAGTCATCAAGGAAATGCAAATTAAAACTACCTTGAGATATAGCACCTCACCCCAGTCGGAATGGCTGTCATCAACAAATCTGACAGCAAATGTCAGAGGAAGTGGGAAATGAAGCCCAAGGGGGTGCACATCCAATATATCAGTATGCAAATCAGTTTAGAAGTTCCTTAAAAGATTAAAATAGGACTACAGGAGTCAGGTGTGTCACTCCTGGTATCTCTGTGGAGAAGCCCATGTCCTACTGCACAGATGTTCACACGCCCGTATTTATTGTTGCTCCATCTATGATAACAAGGAAACGAAACTAACCTAGGTGTCCATCAACAGGTAAATGGATGATGAAAATGTGGCGCACACACAAAATGAAATGGAATATTGCTCTGCTGTAAAGAAAATGGTGTTATGACATTTGCAGGAAATAGATGGAATTAGAAGGTATAATGTTAAGCAAGGTCACCCAAATTTAGAAAGAAACAAAACCAAATCACATGTTCTTCACCCTTAATTGCAGATCCTGGCCTGCAGTGTATACATATGCAAACAGTGTTGGTGTGGGTGCAGTATAGCATTTAGAAAGGAGACCAAGTAAGGATAATACCGAGTAAGGAGGAGGGCCAGAATAAAGGCAAAAGGACACGGGCCGTGAAAGAGAATATAAAGCTAACTATTTTCCTAGTTTCAACTGTGTTGAACTTTTCTTTTTTGTGGTGGATAAGTACATAAAAGGTGTAACTGATTGTTAAAGTATAAAACCCTACTTGAGGCTCTATGGCTTCAGCCTAGAAGTTCTAACTGTATTGAAGTTTACAGAAATGCATAGAATTAAGATCAGGTCAAATGTGTATTTCAGTGGGTAGCTGAGAGAGTGAGTGTTTTTGTAATTCCATTACAATAAAGTGATTTTTCTTTTCCAGGTAGAGTGTTACTTACTGTGTAGCTCTGGCTGGCCTGGAACTCAATATACAGACCAGGCTGCCCTCAAACTCACAAAGACCTGTCTGCCTCTGCCTCTAGACAGCTGGGATTAAAAGTATGTACCACCACACTCTGATACATTATTACCAAAACAAACAAACAAAAACAAAAACAAAAAAACAAAAAAAACCAAAGATTTGGCTGGTTAGGTGTGGCATGGGAAAAGGAGCTTAGGGGAATGGCGATAGTCTCATGTACCCGTGACTTCAGCCTTGAGGTGCTGAAGCAGGAGAATTATGAGTTCCAAGCCAGCAAATGTTCATATTTAAAATGTAAGTCAGATTAAGAGAAAACTGGCTACTTTGTTGAGACTGGAGGGACACGGAATATACAGAGAGCTAAACTGTGCATTTGCCCAGGAAGGCCATGGATTTACATGCAAGGTCTAAGATCAGAGAGTAACCAGTAAGATCATGACTTTGAAAGGAGTCAGAGCCCATGAAGGTCAGATAGCACACTAGTGAGGGCTGGGAGGCTCCCTGTCTTTTCAGGCATTGGGGCCCACAAGAAATTTCTCTGGGCATGCTCACCAAGAAGTTACTGTGATATTGTAGCAATGTGGTCCATGGCATCCTGCAGTAGGTGCCATAGAGATTTCTTGCGGCTACTGCCTAAAGTAAACAGTCTGTAGCCTGATCCTCGGAGAGTTCCAGGACAGCCAGAGCTACCCTGAGAAACCCTGTCTTGAAAAACCAAACCAAAACCATGGAAGTTCATAGCTGGGTGGTGGTGGCACATACCTTTGAACCCAATACTTGGGAGGCAGAGGTAGGTGCATCTCTGTGAGTTTGAGGGCAGCTTGGCCTACAGAGTGAGTTCCAAGACAGCCAAGGCTACACAGGCATGAGGGTCAGGAAGGGTGAGCCTGCAGAGCTAGAAATACTCAGCTTCTGGCATTAAAAACTTAAATGGAGAAAATATTAAACACATCTGCACAGATAATACACTTACGCACAAATTCGTGGCAGAGCACGGGAAGTCTGAGTCCTCCTGTCCCTCCTGCCTGTAGGGTGTCTACTGTCCATCCCACCCTCAGCCCAGCTTACCCTTCCCTCTCTCAGTTCTCCCCTACTGTGTCTCGAACCTGCTCCCAGTGAGAAGCTCTACATTCTGTGCCTTTATTTTTTTTTCTTTTACTTTTTGGTCTGATCTCTTATACGATGTGTATCAGGTATTGATCATAAATCAAATTTGTATCATTCCTCGCTACAAGGAATTTGTGAACTGGGAGCATCTTTCATTGTCTGCTTTCGCCGGTGCATGGGTTAGCATTCCTGCTGCTTGGTTGATTTATGTAGTAATATCGAAAGTGTCCTGTGATCAGACAAGCTCGAGAACTGCTGATCCAGGAGCAGAGCTGGACCTTACCCTATCTAGTTACACAGCTATATTCTTGGCAAGAAAATTGGGGCACATCTAGATCTGGCTAGAATCCCTGGAACAGATAACAGGGCAAGCATTTACTTATGAAAACTTGGGCGTCAACCAGGACTGAGTTTCCGAAGAGTATCACCCATAGCATGTCTATCTCCTCATGGAAGAGGGCTAAGTGGGCCAGGTCGCAACAACTGATAGTCAACAATGTAGAATGAAGTATGTCCACGTGGGCAAAGATTTGCCTGTTATAATGGAAGGCTACTTCATGGGCGACGGTCTTCATCTCTAGGGAACAAACTAAAAGAATTGCGGAAAAATAACTACAAAGGGAGACATTGCCTAGTGACTGCTAGATGCCAGACCACGGGAACCACTTTGTGTCTTATTTTATATCACCTCTTCAAGAAACCACTGATGTTAGTGTTCTCTCATTATCCTCTTTGATTGATGGGAAACTGAGGCACAATGAAGTCAAGAAAAGTTTCTTGATCATGACAACAGTGTCCGGGTCAGGATATAGATAATTTGAAAATTCCCTGCTCCTAGAATATTTCTGTGGACTTTTGGGTGGCTGGTGTTTAATCAATTGTGATTTCTCGTCACATTAACCCTCGTGGATTTTTCCTTTTCTCTTTCAGCATGTGAAGATGGATACAGGCTTGAAAATGAAACCTGCATGAGGTAGGCTCCTTACTCTCTTTTTCTGATGAAGTTGTTACAAATGTCTTTTTAAAAAACAAAACAAACGCCGGCGGGCGGTGGTGGCGCACGCCTTTAATCTCAGTACTTGGGAGGCAGAGGCAGGTGGATTTCTGAGTTCAAGAGTTCAAGGCTAGCCTGGTCTACAGAGTGAGTTCCAGGACAGCCAGGGCTACACAGAGAAACCCTGTCTTGAAAAAGCCAAAAAACAAACAAACAAACAAACAAACAAACAAAACCTACCCTAGGGCTGGAGAGATAACTCTGCTCTTCCAGAGGTCCTGAGTTCAATTCCCAGCAACCACATGGTGGCTCACAACCATCTGTAATGGGATCTGATGCCCTCTTCTGGTATGTCTGATGAGAGTGACAGTGTACTCACATACATAAAATCAATAAATAAATCTTTTTTTTAAAACAAAAGATTTGGGGTTTGAGGATATTTCAGATGTGGAGTTTTCTGGAATGTTTGACCTGTAACAAATAGCTTGTTGATAATCAACAATATAGAATGAAGTATGTTTATTTAAAAAACAAAACAAAAATCTAAAAGACAGACCATCCAGTGGGGCAGTGTGGTGGCACATATCTTTAATCCCAGCACTTGGAGACAGAGGCAAGTGGATTTCTGAGTTCAAACCCAGCCAGGTCTACAGAGTGAGTTCCAGGACAACCAAGGCTACACAAAGAGACCCTGTTTTGAAAAATGCCTGCCTCCCCTTCCAAAAAAGAAAGAAAGGAAGAAAGAAAGAGAGAGAGAGAGAGAGAGAGAGAGAGAGAGAGAGAAAGAGAGGAAGGAAGGAAGGAAGGAAGGGAGGAAGGGAGGAAGGAAGGAAGGAAGGAAGGAAGGAAGGAAGGAAGGAAGAGAAAAAAGACAGACCATCCTAAGTAAAGAAATTCCTCGGGCTGGTGAGATGGCTCAGTGGTTAAGAGCACTGACTGTACTTCCAGAGGTCACGAGTTCAAATCCCAGCAACCACATGGTGGCTCACAACCATCTGCAATGATATCTGATGCCCTCTTGTGGGGTGTCTAAAGACAGCTACAGTGTACTTACATATAATAAATAAATAAAAAAAATTAAAAAAAAAAAAAAAAAGTTTGAAAAGAAAAAAAAAAAAAAAAAAAAAAGAAATTCCTCACGTACGTTGCCTTGTTACAGATTTTGTGGTTTGAGACTAAGTCTTCTCTTGTCTCTCTTGACTTACAGTTGCCCCTTCGGCCTCGGTGGTCTCAACTGTGGAAACCGTAAGTATTCCAAAGGAGAGAATTGTGACTGGGTGGGGCCAGCCTGCTGGCAGGCTCCTCCCCCTCCACTGTGCGTTTAAGTCCTGTGCTAGGTATGTGGGAAAACAAACTAACTAACCAGGGAGTAAGCCCTGTATGGTGCTGTCCCAAGCTCAAGGTGCAGGGGAAGAAATAAAGCCCCCGAGAGCTCTATCTGTACCATGAGCATGGCCAGTCAAGCATGAGGTGAGAGGCATGGAGCTGAGCCCACCCCTAAAGAAGAATCCAAGACACTCATGAGTGTTTCCTGGAAGCCATGGAATTGGAGGGAGGCTTAGAAAGACTTTGGGCGGATACATGGGTGGGGTGAGAGTAAGAAGTACGTTCCAAGGGGAAAACCCCATTTAGAACCCATTTAGAGTCTTCGGGCAACAACATGGTGTTTGGGAACAGTTTATAAGTGGGTGTGCCCAAATTGAGGAAGGGGAAAAAGACAGGAAGCACAGCATTGGGTTTGCAGGGCGCCCAGGAAGTGAGCTGTTGGGCAGGGGAGGTGCTGAGGCTGCAGTGAGTGACTGCTAGGGAACTATCTATCCGTCATAGCACGGGGGAGTTACATGAGTGAGGAAAGCCATGGAGACTGCAGTGAGCAAGAGAACCTGTATAGTAGTCAGGAGACTTCCAGTGAAGTGCCAGCTGGGCACAAGGACCAGCCTCAGAAGTCACCTGCTGTGAGGCAGAGTCTTACTCCCTGAAGGGGAGCATGTATGCTCCAAGCCCGGCCAAGCATGCTGAGGGGGTGGCAAGCATGGTGTCTCAGTCTGCTCTAGTCCTCTCTGAGAAGTTTGAGGCAATTTAGATTTGCTTGTGTGGGTATTCCTTTTGTCTTCAGATGCTTTTGAGATGGAAATTACCTTCAAAATTATTAAACAAAATTTATGATACAGGAGACGGGAGAGCCTAGTATGAATAATAGCAATCAAGACAGTTTTAGGATGGCTTTGTCTTGTACAGGTAAATGTGCGAATGTTAACTATCTAAGGGTGGAAGTAGACATGATTTTATTTCCTGTGTGTTGTGTATGCTCCACCCCCGTTGCTATTCCTTATTTGTATGCCTCACTTTTTATGTCTTCAGGATACCATCAAGCTTAGCTTATGTAGCACGGTCTAGCCTGGAACCCACTGTATAGACCAGGATAGGCTTGAGCTTTTAGAGATTCACCTGCCTCTGCCTCCTGAGGGCTGGGTTCCAGAACTTTCTACTTTTGTGTTCAAGGAAACAGCTATCTTTCCAGAAGGTGGTATTGCATACACTCACATCCTGGGTTGTGCACCACTGATGTTTTATTGTTTGGGGTTTTTGTTTGTTGTTTTTGGTTTTTTGCTATGAATGATCATTGCTACTATCTGTCCAGGGAATGCACACCCTGCATCCGTTTATTCTCTAGGCTTTTATGGTGATAAAATTGTCAAGTTAACCCGACTCTATAACCAGAATTTCTCTCAGGTCCCTGAGATCACTTTTCCCTCCCCATTTATCCAAATGACCATCATTCTGTCCAGCAGAGGGCAGACCCCTGCCTGGACTGTCGTCGGCCCCAGCCCACTTCAGGAATGAAGCTGGCAGTTTGTCATTAAACTTGGGTGACTTTGAGCTACATCAAGTTAGCATTACGAAACATTTTATGGTGGCTGATAAAAATGTTACGACTTGTGATAGCATGTGCAGGGCACTAGCTGTGTATGCTTCTGCAGCACACACTGAGACACATTTGCCAGCGGGCTCCTCATCTGAGGCCTGGGCCCAGCCCTGGGTATTGGTTATAGAGATGGGGGAACACCTGAATCTCTCCCCATTGGTGACAGAAGAACCCAAGGAGTGTTTTGTACCACTTAGCTAGCCTCAAACTAAACAACCCTCCTCCCTCTATCTCTTGAGTTCTGGGGTTCCAAGTCTGCTCTACCATGGCCAGCCTATCAAGCTGGGTTTTCCACAGGCAGGAGATGTCTCTGGATAGATTTCTCCACACACATTGTTCTCAGGCCCCGTGAGATCAATAAGCCAACCTCTTCCAGACACCAATTGACCTCAAAATTCTCTCCTTTCTACACTCCTGGCTATCATCCAGTTCCAGCATATTCCAGGCACCAGGATAATCTGTGACCTGCCTTTTAAAGGTGTTTTGCTAGCTTTCTAGTTCTGCCCAGGCTCCATACCTTGCTTCTTACAGAAAATATCCTCCAAAAGGGTAGGATGTGTCTTTCTCAAGGCTTTAGCTTTCAAGGACATGCAGGTCACCCATACCCAAGGCTCAGGACACCAACTGGCTTATCCCTTTCCTCTTCTTCTTATGGATTGTCTTTGTTCATACCCCATATTCCAACAATTGTGTCTTCTTATTCCCTTGTCCAGAATTCTTTTCTAACCAGACTTGTCCCTCCCTTTCTGCTGTCCCCTCCCCCTCTGCTATCCCCTCCCCCTCTGCTGTCTTTTAGGCTTGCACACTTCCTTAGTTGCTTGAATTTTATGTTGGTTCCTCTGCACAGGTGTATACTGTCACCCCTGCTGCTTTGAGTTGCTTTAACTTTTTCCCATATCATGCATGTGTGTTTGTATATATGTGTATATATGTGTATAGCATGTATGTATGTATATATGAGTGTATGTGTGCATATGTATGTGTGTATGTATGTATGTGTATGTTTATTTGTTGAATTGGGATTTAACCTAGCTTCCAAACTAGCCTAAAACTTACTTTGTAACCTAAGATGACCTCAAACTCATAATCCTCCTGCCTTAACCTTCCAAGTGCTGGAGTCATAGGCATGCACTAGATTACTGGCCATTTTTTTCTCTTTTTCTAATTAATTGTACTTAGAACTTAGAATTGTGCATAGAACGATGTAAAATCAATTAGAGTAGAGGTGTAATGTAAGGAAAAGGGAGCCTGTATACCATCTGTCACCCATTACATGCTAAACACCGTCTGCGTGAGGACCAGCAGGCACCTACTAGACAGAGTTCTAGATCTCCTCACTCCATACCCAGAGAATCAGAATCTGGAAATGTATCAAACTTGGCAAACTTGTTTGTTTGTTGCAATGCACGCATCCTACAGCTTGAAGAGCACAGGCGTCATCCTTGTGGATGTGCGTCTTTTTCAGGGAATTGGGCCTCACTGGATATATGATTTTGTAACCTATTTCTTTTTAAACTTTTAAAGATTTAATTTTATGTGAATGAATATTTTGCCTGGATGTATATATCTGCACAGTGTATATACTGGATGTCCACAGAGGCCAGAAGAGGTGGTGGATCCTCTGGAACTGGACTCACAGATGACTGTGAGCCATGTGTGGGTGCCTGTAGCCACCTGCGGCCACGAGTGGAACAGGTTCACCTGGAAAGAGGGCTGGGAACCAAAGGGGGACAGAGAGCGAGAAAAGATGAAGCCAAGACAAAGTTCTCTGATCAAGGCTCGATGGTTTAATGTTGAGCTTTCAATTTAAAGGGGAAGACCCGCCCAAACCCTTCCTAGTTTCAGCTGGCAGAGTTGGGTGGGATAATCCGTTCTTGGTCATGGGTCACAGCCAGAGATGTCTCAAGGCAAGCCTAGGGGCAGTTCTTCTTTTAAGTTCCTATAGCAGGATCTACGTGCAGCCAAGGTGGGTGACTCCACCTAGGTGTCTATTGATATGTAGCCAAGGTGGTTAGTTCCACCTAGGTCCTATTGTCTGGTCTCTTGTGGTAAACAAGGTCTCAGGCCTGCTCAAGGCTGGAGGAAGGGCACAGGTACCAGCAGTCAAACCTACGTCCTCTGGAGCAGCCAGTGCTGAGCCATCTCTCCAGCCCTGTCACCTGTTTAATTGTGCAGTGATTTAATTTCTACACTCTTACTATGTTAATTATGATACTGCGATACTGTTCTATACTATAATTTACTTCTGGTTACCTTTTACGACTCCTTTTTATGGGCTCATTCTCTAAGCCATTTCTCTGGTTTGTGATTACTGTCACTTCATGACTGCAGAACTTGCACTGTTGTTCCTCGTTAGTTTCTTTCTACCACAGACATTTTTGTCTGTCCCCCTCTCACGCCCGTTTCACATGCTCTTTGCTTCAAAGGATCTGGCTCTCCGATGCAGTCCCTTCCCTAACGGCTTTGCAGTGACTTTTTAGAGCTGTCTTTTTGGTTTATGTCTCTTCCAATGAACTAGAGCATCCCACTTACGGATATTCCCAACTGTCTCCCACCCACACAAACCTGGTATAGAAAGAGCGTCTCACTTTGCTCTCCCTGCCATCACATGTGGCCACAGGGAGATTTAGACAGAGGGAGGGAGTGCTGTGTGTCGGCCGGAATAGCTCACCACGCATGTCGCTCAGTGCGCATGTCCAGAAAGCCAGGGACAAAACAGGAAGAAAGAGCGATCACTATCCACTTGCACCTCAATGCTAGCTGCCCATCCAGTGGCCTCTCCTGGTGTCCGTCCTTTCCCATTAGAACTGGAGGGGAGCAGGGCGTGGAAGGAAGAGAATACTGTTCTGTATTTGATATCCCCTCAGCCTGGTGAGATGGAAAGGACAGAAACCTCAGCAGAGAGTGAAAGAGTCACATGGAAAATTCTAACGGAGGAGAGCAGGCATGGATAGTGGAAGGAGCCCCTGCGATTCACGCATAGCTTGGAGACTAAAGATGTAGAAAAAGAAGGCCATGAGCTGAGTTGGAAGAGAATGGGAAGGCTTCAGAGGCAACACTCTGACCTTATGTGGTTAAGCACTGAACGGATTTTTAACAAAAATTCATACGGCTTCCTAGGAAGCTCTGTTAGGCAACTGAAAGAGTGTTCATCGAGTGAAGTTCTGGAGTAAGGCTGGCAAGCTTAAGCAAAGTTTATTGGAAGGACATGTCCTGGGACCCGAGTGTCTGATGTGGCAGGAATCGCTCGTGTGGGCAGCTGAGATCAGAGATTACAGGGCACACCCACTCGAGACTCCACCTCCTCTCTGCTTTTGCGTCAGGAGGCTGTACACTGTCTTCCCAGACCACGTGGTGGAAAACGGAGTCCCCTTACAGCTCTTGAGTGTCTGTGTTGTGGTTTAGTCATTTTGAAAGAGAAAGTTCTCTCTGCTTTCCAGTGAGTTTGGGCGACGTGTTCATTCCTCATCAGATGTGGCGGAGGATGTCAACAGGAGTGACCCTCCCTCCCCCCTGCACACGTGGATCGAGGGATTAACCCGTTCCCGGAAGGGGTGGGGTATACAGACAATAGGTTTCTTCCAAATAACCACGTAAACAAAGCTAAGAGTTCCCTGAGGGAGGTGGAAACCAAGGTTGGTTTGCTGGAAAATGCAAGCAAAGATCACAGCCTCAAGCTGAGAGGACTGGCGCTGGCCAGCACTGAACAACCTTCAGCTTGTGTTCACGGGGAAGGAGGCTCGAGGACCCCAGCTCACTCTCAGCATCTCCTCACACTAGAAAGCACAGAACAGACAGAGATGGCATCCCTGTCTATCCTGCAGAAACATTCACAGCACCCACAAAGCCGGAAGCAAACGTGACAGCTGGCATTGGTTGAAGCCCAGCAGAAAGCTGAAGTCAACACTTGCACCCACATGATCAGTTAAAATGATTCTGTAAGACAGTGCTCTTGGTAGAGATGGGAAAGGGTCTATGACGTCTCCTCATCCTGTTTCCTCTTATTATTTCTCTTATTTAACAATGTTTAATTTGCATACATATTCGTTTCACATGGGCATTTTTCAAACAATTCTTTTAGGTTAGTTCTTTTTACTCTATCAATCCCTCAAGTCCCTCCCACCCCCCCCCACTCCTTTCCTGTTGTCACGTGTGCACTGTGACCTCCCCCTTAACTCCTAGTTGTCCCTCTCATGGTCTCCTTTTCAGTTTTATAACTCACCTCACTTCCGCCCCTATCCCCACATATAAACATTACGCACTGGGATCACTTAGTGTATTTTCCTACTTCGTCCATGTCACTGCAAGTCTGCTGCTGCCATAGCACACACGCTTAGAAGAGTTCACAATACTGTGACATCCAAACACGGGGCCTTTAAAAACAGAGTACTGTTGTGTCTTACCAATGTATTAGTCCACAGTGATTGTCATTAGAAGAAGAAAAGGCAGTGTATGGTAGTTGGTACCTAAAGAGAAAGATGGGGAAATGAGCAAGATTTTATTTTGTTTATTTAAAAAGCTATCCAGCCAGGTATGGTGGCACACACCTGCAACTCTAGTGTTTGGAAGGTTGAAGTAGGAGGATCATGAGTTTGAGTCCAGCCTGGGCTACATGGTGAGTTCCAGGCTACCCTCGGCTCTATAGCCAGAGTTATTCTTCCCTGTGTATTGTCCTCCTTCTACTTTCATGCCATTCTTGTGTGTGTGTGTGTGTGTGTGTGTGTGTGTATATATATATATATGTTTCTCATATGAGAGAAAGTAGACAATACTCATATTTCTGAGTCTGGCTTATTTTATTTAACATGATGATATACAGTTCCATCTGTTTCCCTGCAAAGTATTTTTTTTTTCAGTTTCATCTATTTCCCTGAAGAGTATATTGGTTTTTTTTTCATATAAACTATTTATTTCAAAGAGGAACGAATGTGCTATAACCTGCAGCCACGGGAAGGGTCACTCCTATAATAGATATTTGGTTGTTCTGATATAAGTAAGAACATTTAGCCAGATATGTAGGATAAAAATTAAACTTTTTTTGTTTGTTTTTGTTTTTTGAGACAGGGTCTTTCTGTGTTGCCCTGGCTGTTCTGAAACTCGCTCTATAGATCAGGCTGGCCTTGAATATACAGAGATCTGCCTGCCTCTGCCTCTCTGCCTCTCTGCCTCTCTGCCTCTCTGCCTCTCTGCC